ATCTTTGTATCAAGTATGGCATCTCATTAATAGGATTTTTCACTGGTCACTTTTCTAAAAACTTTCCAATTAAACAGTGATCAAGCAAATTCTCCATTATGATACAGAATGTTGTCTCTGTGCAATTTCTTTCTAAAAATTAAATTTTAACGTCCAATAGTAGTATGAATATAAAAAGCTGTTGTTTGCCATTAGACACCTATGAATTGTTTTATTGACATTTTTAATAAAATACATAGGATTATTCTCATCTTTTATATAATATAATAATTTATGTTATATTTTTATAGTATTTTTCTAATCTCATGTGAAACATAGTCATAGTTTCATGCTTTAGCCAGTTTGATGCATATATCTTCTAGTTATTGATGGATAGTTAAAATTATTCATGAAAAGTAACCTCCTTGACACAATTTCACAGAAGTGAGTAGTATATATAAATATGTCCTGCTTAGAAAAGGCATACCTGGCATGGCTGTAAAATACTAGATATTGTCAGTTCTTTGACAATATCTTGTATGAGCATTTTAAACTAATAAATTTATCCAGTAGTATGGTATTAGGTGTATGATTTTGGCAGGTATGGCAATGAAGTTACAGTATTAAATGTACATTAAGAAACAGTTGAACTTTAAGGGGGAGGTATAACCTCCGGAAAAACTTTTTTGTTTACGGCCGGATCATTCTGAAACTTCACATATATATGTAAAACCGCAAAAGAATCTCATTTTGTTCATGTGATTTTTCGAAAAAATGCATAGAAAACGTGAAATTCATAGAAAACGGAAAAAAGGGGTACTACGGAAAAGCCTACTCCTCCTAGAGTTTTAAAGATACAGCGATGAGACATATACCATTCCATTCGTAAAGACCGTACCAATCGAGTAACGAGGCCCGATTTTTGATTTTTGCCTTAGTTTTTTCACACGCATTTAAAAATTTTTCTCATTCCCCCCCCCTTCCCCCCAATTTTGAATCCAAACTATGCACAAATCTAAAAAAGGGCTTCGTTAATCGATAGGTATGGTCTTTACGAATAGAATAGTATATGTCTCATCGCTGTAGCTTCAAAACTCCAGGAGGAGTGGGCTTTTCCGTGACAAAAAGTTGAACTTTTCAGGACAGCGCGACAAAGTTCCGCGCGCCTCGAAATAGTCACTCAATGTAGCATAGATACCAGACTACAGGCTTCTGTAGCTTAATTCCACTCTAGGATGCTAGCAGCGACTTGCAGCACACCTCTCCGTACAAAGCGAACAGGGTGACTGAGCCTTGATGCCAGATACAACCATATATGTAGTCTTTACAAGTGAATTACCTCCCATCTATTTAGTAAAGGAAATCCACCCCCCCCCCTTTAAAGAGCAGCCGTGTACGTAAAAATTCCCTTACAGGGATCGCAGTGGTATCGTTGAAAAGCTCAGAATGTCAGCTTTTAGATGAGACTAAGCACGTAACTGCAGCACAACTCAAGTAGAAACTATATTTAAAATCCTCAGCAGCTAATTACCTTGTATCTAATTAGTGAAGGAACTCCCCCACCCGCCCCCCTTTAAAGAGCCGTCATGAACGTATAAATTCACGTACAGGGATCGCAGTGGTATCATTGGATAGGGCAGAAAGTCAGCTTTAAGACGATACTAAATATCAGAGAAGCCAAATCCGAAAATTTTAGGGTGAGACTCCCCCCTTAAATGTTGAATAAATGCGGTAATACTTTAGATTAAGTGCATCCAAAAAAGGGTGTTTTTTTGTTTAATTATATGTTTTTTCGGGTGTAGATAAAGAATCTGAAATCCGTTTTTGGCGGTCGGCATCGGAAAACCGATTTTTTTCCCCGACGCTCTAATTCGTCAAAAAAATATCGGGCAAAAATCGGCAAAATTGGTGAAAAACCTAACCTAACCTAACCTAACCGTGGCTGCAATGTCGTGGTTGCCTGCAACGCCGTGGTTGCAAGAGTATATGGGTCACCGAGGCGGAGTTAAAAACGCTATAAGTCCACGGATATCGGGGCCAAGATTTAACTTGCATTTTATCGTACAAAATATATAAAAATCGGCATATATAAAAATAAGTTTTCCGATGCCGACCGCCAAAAACGGATTTCAGATTCTTTATCTACACCCCAAAAAACATATAATTAAACAAAAAATACCCTTTTTTGGATGCACTTAATCTAAAGCAATACCATAAATGGTCTGCAACACAGCACGCTACAACTTATAATGACATGTTGGCAATTTGGCAAATAATGAGAATGTGGAGTTTGTATGAACAGTCACATTCTAGATGTGAATGAGCTACACATAGGCATTCTATGCAAGACACTTGCTGCCACTGCCCGCCCACTCACTCCCTGGCCAACATTTGATTGTTAATGGTTTGAAATGTCACCCTGGCTTGTTTTTTTAATAGTCCACTCTCAAGTTAAATTGCCATGTGGTCCTAAATTTCGAGTAAGTGGCCAATGAATGATATGGCATGCTGTTCAACTATTCAATGAAGCTGCCGGCCTGCAACACAAGAAATGAGTTTTCTAATTATTTGTTATATTATATTTGATTTTGAGATGATTCATATTTTCATTGTGAATTTGGAAATTTGAAACAGCATGAGAATTCAAGAAATTGAGAAAATTGCGTAGCAGTAATACAATCTGAATTTGTTCTTAATTGAATTGCTAACATGCTACCCATTTATATCTTTTATTTCCAGCAAAATTCCAATGAAGAAAGTAATCTAGCTGAAACTGTATAAACAATAAACTGGCTTTATTTACAATTAGGAATTTGTCTGTTAACATATGTATGTATATACATATTGAGAGTTGTTACTCATTGGTGAATCATTCAAAATATATTGAGGTAAACTTCCGAGATAACACCAAAAATAATGACAGTTCCATAACAGATCAAGTCCATATAATTGAATTGTGATTTGAAATTGCTATCCTGTCCTTACTTGATTATCTGATTCATTTTTAATTTGCTAGAATATGCACCTGTTTTTTTTTCATTTATTTCTATTCCAGAGTTCTTCTCAATGACAGATAGTACAGGAAGCCATATCCTGACATTAGACGCGCTGTTGTCATGAAGCCTTAATGCTAGCTGCAGTTCCTGTCGCGGTTACTTTAGGGTCTGTTCCCTGTTTATTTTTTATCTGTTCATTGTGATCCGTCAGCACCTTATAGTAATGCTGCAACTCCTGATATGGGAGTTAGAGCTCAGCTGCTCCTAGCTGTTATTGAAGGTGGCAGTTCTTCAGTTATGCCACGAGCTTCAACTTCAAGCTCCCTCATGAGGAAAGAAGAGTAGCCAAATGAGTAATACCTAAATGGTTTTATTTTTACAACATATTCAATTGAAACGGATCAGAACATGGTGTCAAAGCATAATGTTAAACTTAATATCACATATCGGAGGATGATGACAAAATGAAGATTTGAAACCAGTTCTTCCTTCTACCACAGTATATTGTACATCAACACCTATGTTTCCAGCCAACACATATGGTGTCAAAACATAATGTTAAAACTTAATATCACATATCAGAGGATGATGACAAAATGAAGATTTTGAAACCGGTTCTTCCTTCTACCACATTATTTTGTACCTCAACACCTATGTTTCCAGCCAACCCCACAAAGAATTGCAAGAATTGGTCTAGCGAGAGCAAAAGGTAAGTCAGCAAACTCAATTCTCCTCGTTAAAACACTAAAACTTCATCAGCACTTGCTTTCTAAGATGAATCATTTTTTTGGATGAATCAATTTTTTTTGTGATGATGTTGCTGTAGTTCGTGCTCGTAGAAATGCTAGGATTTAATGCCATGAACGTAACTAACACAAAATCAAGGTTAAGATTTTCGTAATTGATTTTAAATTTTTGTAATTTTAAGTTTTTCGTCTAAATATAAAATCCGTAATGACTACACTCTTCTGCATACTATTTTTATATTTTTACTGGCGCCCAATAATGGATGTGGTGAAAGGGTTCTTGATATCAGAAAACGTGCCATGGAAGAAACATGATTAAATTAGTTTTCATTATATTATGTAACTTGCTTTTCTAAGTTTTAATATGATTGAACATTTTCTTGTCTTCAGGTTGTTGCACTGCAGGCTGTCGCAGAGTGTAATCTATTGAGGAACGTCATCGTTTTGATGAAGATGCTCATGACTCGAACCTTGGCCATGGAGTTCTCGATGGCATGACTCCGTGACAATTGGCAAGAGAAAGCCGACCAAGATCAAATTCTACAACTTGCCTGCGTGCCTCTTGATAAAGCGTGAGTAATGAAAGAACTTCATTGCAATGAGTTTACTGTAATACTTCAGACTGAAATATTAGCAGTATTTGTTACCCCTGAGTGAAAAGAAAGAATTTACGTAAATTCTTTCCTCTCAGTCAATCTGCCCGGAAAACATGAAAGTATGGTCTGTGAAAAATCTTTTTAATTGATTAAAATTGATGATGATTAGCAAGAAGGAAAGCTTTAGGAGGTACTGTTTGCATCTATATATGTTCCTTAGAGAAATTTGTTGCTGGCACAGCGAACTAAAGATTAACTTCATTTGATCATATCATAAAGGTAATTTCGTTTAACACAACGTTGCCTCGAATCGGCACTAATTCACTAAATTTATTAATTTCTATTTGCGTCGTGCATATCAAGTTTATAGGGGGTAAAATTAAAAATTTTGACGAAATTTCCGCTGGATGCATTTTTTGAACGAATATTATCTCGGGTATGCATCAAACTAAGTACTTTGTCCAATTCGTTATCTTATACCCACAATTTACCATAAATCAGCTTGGTCTAATTTGTGACTTTCCTCTAAAGTTATCAGCCGTTAGCTCTGCAATGTATTGCCAGATGTTATTCATCACAGGTCTCTTGAGGCCCGCCAATCGTGTAGGTTTTCCACTATCTGATACAAGTGAAAATAGTCTTCTAACATTGCTCCTTACTACAGGTGCTACAGATTGGGACGGTCATTGTGGCAGCAGATTAACTGCAGATTTCGGGGGTGAAGTTGGAGCTTCAACATCTGCCGCAACCACGAACGGACCCAGCTAGTGACGGCGATCAGACTTTGGGGCGATCAGACTTTTTTCATATGGCGGACGTAGAACTTTTAGTCAAGCCCAAATCTTCGTTCTGATTTGACCAACTTATAAATTAATAATCAAATTTTATTCGGGTATCGTTCTAAAATGTAATATATTTTGAAATAAGGTTGATCTGCTATCAATATCCACGAAAATGGTTTTCTATTCAACACCTTACTCTCTTATGTGACCACGTTTATCATTCATTCAACACCATCTCATCCCAGTCAATACGTTCCCCTCTAGCCTGCACGTTCCTCATCCAGGATGCACGTTCCCATCTAGTGTGCGCGTTCCCCATCTAATTTGTTCGCTGACACTCTTGTCTGCACGCTACCACAGTTGTCTGTACGCTATCTCTCTTGTCTGTACGCTACTACTCCTATCTGCACGTTATCACTCTTGTCGGCACGCTACCTCTCTTGTCTGCACGCTACTACTCCTGTCTGCACGTTATCACTCTTGTCAGCACGCTACGTCTCTCGTCTGCACGCTACCTCTCTCGTCTGCACGCTACCACTCCTGTCTGCACGGTTCTATTCTTGTCGGCATGCTATCACTCTTGTTAGCACGCTGTCACTCTTGTCTGCACGCTACCTCTCTTGCCTGCACGCTACCACTCCTGTCGGCACGATTTCACTCTTGTCTGCATGCTACCACTCCTGTTTGCCCGCTATCACTATTGTCTGCACGCTACCACTCTCATCTCCACGCTACCACTCTTGTCTGCACACTACCACTCATGTCGGCACGCTACTATTCTTGTCGGCACGCTACCACTCATGTCTGCACGCTACCACTCATGTCGGTACGCTAAAACTCATGTCGGTACGCTAAAACTCTTGTCGGTACGCTACCACTCATGTCGGCACGTACGCTACCACTCTTGTCGGTACGCTACCACTCGTGTCGGAACGCTACCACTCATGTCTGAATGTTCCTCTTTGTCATCCAGTTCCCCCACTTGTCGCAATGTGCAGTCACCATCAACACCGCACCTCTCACCATTTGACACGTACATACACCCGTCAACTTGTTACTCGATGGTCAATTCTCGCCAAGTGTTGATTGGTCTCTTGTTAAACTGAGACTTGAGGATCTAGTTCAAATATAACGTTGGCATAGCGGTTATCACTTCTGTGCTGCGACCTTTATTAAATGTTTGTTTTTTTTTTCAATACATTTTTACAGCTGCCAATCGTTTCATTGTATTCAAAACCTTACTGTTGTTGACGTTTTATGAAAATTAGTATTTGATCATTTTAATATGTCGTCGGCTGTAAATCCGAGATTTTTTGCTTGTACTGTCATGCTGGAAATGCATGCAAGTTCACATGAATGTGTATGCATATCCTCTCTTTGACCATGCTTGCTGTTATAGGTTAAGGCTTCAGTTCTAAGGTATTAACGTTGTCTTAAAAACAGTTAGTTCTTCAACTCCCTGGCTTAGTAAACTTTAACCGCTTTTAACTAGTGATATGATTAAGCATCATAATTTAGAACCTTTTAGCCTTGCGTTAAAAAGCTTCTAATGGCGGGGCCCAATGCACAATTTTACATTGTGACGAGTGATATAACTAGATTTTCATTACTCAATTCAGTAAAGATTTCTTGTGGCCAATTATTTTCCCGTCTTCTTACATTTCCGTCTTGAGAAGAAAACCGAAAGGCCTGCTCGCACCCTTTGGTCTTCCAACAGCAGACTATCTACTGACCTGGCCCAGAGCACACCTTACGCTGCCGCTCTACTCCACCTGCCACACGCGCTTACCTGAGACGGTCGACGGTCGTGGAGCATTACACGTGGAGACGGTCCAGGAGTCTACTACTGGAGGCCTTCATTGTACTTCGATCTTACGAACTATTCAAGGTACGGGAAAGAGTTGGCCACTTTATTCCTGGCCTTCAGCCAATACTATTTTGGGGACTCTACGGAACCTGATTCAGTAATCTCTTTTCTACACTTATTGGCCCCGCCATCCAGTAGTGTAATGAATTTCATTGCTCAAATAATAATAATCTATACTTTTTGTTCCTCTAAATCTATTCTGTTTCTCTTTCTATAATTTACAGGGAACCTGCGAGTGGGCGAGAGATCGGTCGACGGTCGGCTGAGCTCTGGCGTGGTTGATTTTTTTTGCCATTCTCTCTCCGAATAAAAAATCTTGTTAGCCATTCTACTTTGCTTGCCCCCACTTCATTCCCGGAAACTAGCTGAAAATTCACTGACAGTTTAGAGGTTTTGAGATAGATTCCTCGTGGCATTCCAGAGTTCATTTAGCTTCCTTATGGCTTTACGACCCATGACTTACTGGAATAGCTATCGCGAAACAGCAACCTTTTTAATTTGATATCTTACATGCACCTGCAGGTTCTTAAATACCGCCACGAGCGCCCCCCACGGCGCCCCCCTCAGGACCGCGGCCTTCATGTGCACCACCACACGAGATGGACGACCATGTCGCAGGAGGACAGGTACAACAGCAACATGGCGACCTGCGGGCAACCACAACGTGACCACGACAGCCAAAAAAGGCAAAAAAATCAAGAGTTTTCATTTGGTCAGAACTTAGCTAGGCTTTCACCCGCGACAATCAGTGTTAGTCGGCGTCTGACTAACACGTCACCCATCACACCCAACACGTCACCCATCACACCCAACACGTCACCCATCACACCCAACACGTCACCCATCACACCCAACATGTCACCCATTACACCCAATACGTCACCCATCATACCCAACACGTCACCCATCACACCCAACACGTCACCCATCACACCCAACACGTCACCCATCACACCCAACATGTCACCCATCACACCCAGCACGTCACCATTACACCAAACACGTCACCCATCACACCCAACACGTCACCATCACACCCAACACGTCACCCATCACACCCAACACGTCACCCATCACACCCCACCCAACACGTCACCCATGACACCAAACACGTCACCCATCACATCCAACACGTCAACCATCATACCAACACGTCACCCCTCATAACAACACCTCACCCATCACACCCAACGCGTCACCATCACACCCAACACATCACCCATCACACCCAACACGTCACCCATCTCACCCAACACATCACCCATCACACCCAACACATCACCCATCACACCCAACACGTCACCATCATACCCAACACATCACCCATCACACCCAACACATCACCCATCACACCCAACACGTCACCCATCACACCCAACACGTCACCCCTGTCTCTTATACACATCTAGATGTGTATAAGAGACAGCACGTCACCCATCACACCCAACACATCACCCATCACACCAAACACATCACCCATCACACCCAACACGTTACCCATCACACCCAACATGTCACCCATCACACCCAACACGTCACCCATCACACCCAACACGTCACCCATCACACCCAACACATCACCCATCACACCCAACACATCACCCATCACACCCAACACGGCACCCATCACACCCAACACGTCACCATCACACCCAACACGTCACCCATCACACCCAGCACGTACACACCCAACACGTCACCCACCGTTCCTGACGTTCCATTTCTTGCCCTCCGTCAGGGCGGCGAGCTCGGCCACCGTCCCCGCGTGGTCGGGACGGCAGCGCGCGACGCAGTCCATCACATCGCGGGCGGTGACGCCGGCCTCCCTCAGGGTCTCCTTCAGCTCCCCCCACCGCCGCGTGAGGTGGCGGGGGCTGTCCCTGCTGAGGGCCGCCACCACGTACAGCAGCACCTCCCGCAGCCTGGGGGATGGGAGTGTGGAGTGAGGTTCTAGGGGCGCATAGGGCCACATTTTAGGTCTGTTCCCAACTAACCTGTTGCGTCATTTTAGTTGTCTGATATTTCATTTCAGTTAAACCATAATTAATGCCCGTTGCCTGGTGGCTGCGTGACAAGAAGTGCCTGATTCCTGCTATGTTATGAAGAATTATATGTACGCGCAGTCAACACAATATATATCTGCTCAGTCAACACATACCAGCAGGCATCTGACGTTGAAACAACGTTGATTATTGGTTGATTTCAGGTTGAAATGTTGAAAAACCTAAATTAAATGTCATATCAACGTCGAAATCTGACCAACAGTAGAAGGGTCGGAAAGCAACTTTATTTCAACGTTAAAATAACGTCGATATTGGTACGTTGTATGTTCACTAATTTAAAAACGTTTAATCAATGTTAATTTCAGGTTGAAATGCGAAACAACCACTTCGACGTCCGACGTTCGACGTCCGATCAACGTCGAAATCTTACTAAAACTAGAAAGGACGTAAAACAACGTTATTTCAACGTTGAAAAATGGTCGATATCGGCACATTGAATGTTTAGCTATTTACCAGCATGGAACTAATGTTATCACACCAACATTGAATGATATACATATATATATATATATATATAACTGTACGATTAATGATCAGACGTTGCAGCAACGTCGTAATAGCAACATTGATTCAACGTTGCATTGTAACGTCAGTACGACGTTTCATAAAAGATGTTGCGTCAATTTTCATTCAAAACCTCCTTTCACCCCGATCTCAATGTCGTAATAGGTAGCTGATTCAACGTTGATTCAGCCTCCAAATGCCTGCTGGGCAATATATGTCTGCTCAATCAACACAATATATGCCTGCTCAGTCAACACAATATATGTCTGCTCAGTCAACACAATATATGTCTGCTCAGTCAACACAATATATGTCTGCTCAGTCAACACAATATATGTCTGCTCAGTCAACACCATATATGTTTGCTCAGTCAACACAATACATGTCTGCTCAGTCAACACAATATATGTCTGCTCAGACAACACAATATATGTCTGCTCAGTCAACACAATATATGTCTGCTCAGTCAACACAATATATGTCTGCTCAGTCAACACAATATTTGGCCTTGTATATAACCCGCTGCCTGCCACTATCCCTGGTCTCGAGTAACGCGGGCTGAGGGCATTTCCTTTCTTGCTTACCGAGTTAATTCCTCTGAAGGGCTAACAGAGCTGAATGAATTAGTAATGTAATTACTTCTATGACATTGTCGAATGATGTGTGAATGGATTATGGAATAATCTAAACGTTTTATAATCGTTAGTCCTAAATTAATGCAAAAAACTAAAGCACAATCATTGTATTCATTTCATTCATTTGAATACAATCATTCACCAGTTTCATTTGATTCATTTAATTAAAATTCATCAATACGCAACATTAATCTCATTGAACACACGTTGACTCGGCCCCGAGGTCAATATCGTGTTTGCTGAACGGCTCCACTGAACGAAGGTATGGCGGGGGATTGAGACACGGGGATTGAGATACGGGGATTGAGATATGGGGATTGAGATACGGGGATTGAGATACGGGGATTGAGATACTGGGATTGAGATACGGGGATTGAGATACGGGGATTGAGATACGGGGTTCGAGATACGGGGATTGAGATACGGGGATCGAGATACGGGGATTGAGATACGGGGATTTAGATACGGGGATTGAGATACTGGGATTGAGATACGGGGATTGAGATACGGGGATTGAGAGGTGAGGATTGAGACGCGTAACGAAGAAAGTTCTTCATTGAAGCAGTTCCGAGAATTTATGAACAGTAGAAGCTTGGCGTAAGCGGCAAAGCTAATAGACAGATTTGAATTTGTTAAATTTATCAGGAGTCAAAATGTAGTCCAGCTGTCTGATGATCTTCATTTATGAAGATTAGAGATAATCTTATCCTTGCCAAAGACAGCTACGTCTTGTGAAAATATTTAGAAAACTAAGCCTGTGAAGTGGTCAGTAGGTATAGAGAACGATGAGGTTTGAAGCAGCTATAGCAGTGCTTAGAAAATACAATCGACCGGCCACGAATGAGAAATTTTGTCCTTTATAGATCATTTATGTAGATAGAAGTAATGAATAGCAGCATGGTGTTGGGGCCTGGCAGTTCTGAATATGGTACCGGACCAATTGGTGACCACGAGAAACCCTAAGGAATGTGGTATGTTAATGGTAGTATATGCCGACATAGTGGATCTCTCTCGGATGAAGGGTTTACATCGGGAGTATGTCAATCCTGCATCATGCAGGGTCGAGTAATGACCCTGTGCCCTCATTGCTGGTTTGCTGCTGGGCCATCTCTCCTAACTATAACCCTAAATATAGCTTTAACTTCAGCAGAAGGTAATATAGGCAGTATCTATGTTCGAGGCTGCCATGACAATCTAAAAATCTAAAGTCAATTAACTGTTATTACCTTACATGTTATGTGTCGATTCAGGGCGTATTATTCGTTTTATCCGCATGATTGATATGCGACGATGTAAGCCTTATAAAATATTTAGCCTAGCATCTAATGTAAAACATTGATAAAGCCTATTAACAATACTTCCATCCCTCGGAGTGCAAATTAATCCCAATTATGCTGCTAATCCGTAGAATTTCTGATTTTTATTCGTATACTCATTGGTTTGCATAAATATCAAATCGGGAGTTTATGCTCACGCGATTTGCCGCTCTAGGCGGCCACAAGTTGAATTTTGGCCTCAAGTTGAATTTTGACCTCAGGTCGGATTTTGACCTCAAGTTGAATTTGGACCTCATGTTGAGTTTTGACCTATTCGACGCTCACGTGTATCTCTCAGCTTGACTGGTGCCTGTGTCGTCGTTATAAATGAACGACAATTAATCTAATAGTCGTATTTCGGTGTCCAACATATACAGTTCTGCATCAATTACATACGAGGACTTTTTGAAGCATGGCCTCCGATGCAACTCATGCCATCAGAGCGGTTTGCAGCTCATGCCATTGTTGAGGTACGCTCACACCATCAAATCGGCTTGCAGCTCATGCCATCAGAGCGGCTTGCGGCCCATGCCATCAGAGCGGCATGCTGCTCATGCCATCAGAGCGGCTTGAATGCAGCTAAGTAGGAGGGTAAATACAATAGTAAGTAAATGGATAAACACAATAGTAAGTGGGACCCAATCGAAATTTTTATTCCTGTCAGCCGCAGGCACAAGGACACCCCAAGCTCGCCTAGCGGTGTAAATTAACGGCTACATGTCCGCTTTAGGTTCCGGTTCCCGGAGCGAAATAAGCGCCGAAACAGAATCTTATGAAATACCTGTCGAGCTCGGGGCGACCGTGGAGGCGTGCGTATTTGGTACCTGATACGTTCGAGACAGACACGGCCGAATCTGAAAAATGCGTTCAAAAATGCCCCCTCCGTTTCCCCCTAGTATTGGGAGCATTTGAATCTCTGTACGCTATATATGCAGCCTAGTACTACTCTCTTAGTTTTATGATAAGAGCAAAGCCTATCAGAAGCTCATTTCTACGCATAGACTCAGGTTTCAACTAGTAACTATTTTGAGATCACGTTTTTCCAAAAAAAGGGAAAACCGTTTTCCTAAAAAATAAACTCCAATCGCTACAAGAATATAAATTATTCGAGGTAATATTTCTGTACCATGGCTTGTGACTTAATTTTTGTATCATGGCATGTAACTTTCGTCACCCTAAATATCAATCGAGCAAACTGTTCTGCAAGGGCCTCAAAATTCTGCGATCAGCGATGACAGAAAGAATTAAGTGATCTAAAACTCGTCTAATTTCACGTTGCAATTAAAGTTCATTTTGCCGTTGCTGCTTATGTTGGCCATTCCCGGAATCAATCCGTTTGAAAATTTACAGTTAACAATAAACAAAAAAATGCTTAATAATGATGCTTGACTCATGTACCTGACTCCAGTAACTAACCTAATGCTACTACATAATACACCACAAAGTAACTGAATCCGAGAAACAAATTTACTTACCAAGAGGCCTTACAGTCTACAACGCGTTAAGGGGAGCATTACGGTCAAAATCTATTTTCTATATTTAGGGAAGGATCATCTCCAAACTTGGTACACATATGTAAAACAGAATTCTAAGACTTTTTTGTTCATGTGAATTTTTCGAAAAAATGAAAGAAAACGTGAAATTCATAGAGAACGGCCAAAAAGGGGGTACTATAAAAAGTTTATAACTGTTGCAAATCATATGCTACAACATCGAGACACGTATCATTCGATGCTTAAAGACCATATCTAGCGATTCTCGGGCCATTTTTTTCAATTTTTTCTTGGTTCTCTTGTTATGATGATTTTTCTGAAAAATTTCGAATTTTCACCCACTTTTTACAACACTTCTCTTTAACTTCACTTCTTGTTGTTTCTTTGTTTGTTTGTTTGTTTGTCTGCTACAAATCTTATAATCGATATTTAACAAACTTCTACCTGTCCAATCGATCTGAAACTTTGCACACTTGTGTAAAGTTGGAGACAATGCATGAATCAAATGTCAAAATAATTGATTTTTAAAATTGATATGTTTTTTTTTAATATTACAAAAAGTGAAAAAATAATTTTGTCAGCTACAAATCTTATAACTGATATTTGACACTTCTACTTGTCTGATTGATCTGGAATTTTGCACACTTGTATGAAGTGAGAGGCAATGCATGAATCAATTAAGAGAATAAATAATTGTAAAAAAATTATATATTAAAAAATATTTATAGTGAAAAAAATAAAAAATTCATTTTTCTAATATTCTAAAATTGAATGAGAAATTCATTGTACATCTGTAAGATTGGAGACACTAGATTCTTTGGAAGTGTTGTCTTTAAAAAGTAACTTTTAAACGTATATTAATACGCCATTTCTCCCTAACTTCACTTCTTGTCTGTTTGTTTGTCAGTCTGCTACAAATCTTGTAATCGAAATTTAATACACTTCTACTTATCCTATCGATCTGAAATTTTGCACACTTGTGTAAAGTTGGAGACAATACATGAATCAAATGTAAAAATAAATGATTTAAAAAAGTAATTTTTTTTTTCAATATTAAAAAAATAGAAAAAATAATTTTGTCAGCTACAAATCTTATAACTGATATATGACACGCTTTTACTTGTCTAATTGATCTGAAATTTTGCACACTTGTGTGAAGTCAGAGGCAATGCGTGAATCAATTAACAGAAAAAATAATTTTGAGAAAAAAATTTATATATTAAATAAAATTACATATTAAAAAAACTGAAAAATTAATTTTTTAATATTCGAAAATTAGATGAGAAATTCATTGTACATCTGTAAGATTGGAGACACTGGATTCTTGGGAAATGTTCCGAGCGAGCCGTTCATGTCGTACGCTCTTTCTGGCAGTTAACTCGTATGGAGTAAAGAAGATGGACGGGGTTCTCCACTTTACTCGTAAACGTGTAAGCTGAAAACAAATTACCTATGAGACACTAATACAAAACATTTATACACAAGAACCAGAAACAACGTTAACACGCTTTTACAATAAACACAATTATGAAGTAACCAATAAGTTAAAATATTTTTAGTTACTATAGGTTACTTAGACTTACATAGTTCGTATAGGAGTACCGCGTAGTAAGTACCAGGTCACAAGGATGAATAACGTATGGCCTAACAGGTTCAACATCAGATTGCGTTGGCTACTTATTCTTTATATGAACAGAGACAGAGAGATGGGCGTATGAACGACGCCACAGGAAGTGTTATTTTTAAAAAATAATTTTTAAACGTATATTATTGAATTTTTCCCCCTTTTTTCAAAATATTTTCAAAACTAAAACGAAATCGAAAAAATGGCTCGAGAATCGCTAGATATTTTAATTGCTAATCGAATGGTAAATGTCTAATCGCTGTAGCTTCAAAACTCTAGGAGTTATAAAGTTTTCCGTGACAAAAAGTTGAATGTTCAGTATGGAGCGACAAAGTCTCGCGCGCCTCGCAATAGGCACTCAATGTAGCATAGAAACCAAACTAAACGTTTCTGCAGCTTGATTCCACTCAAGGATGTTAGGAGCAACTACATGCACACCTCCCCGTACAACGCCCGGAGGCACACTAAGTCACACCTCCTAAAAACATCGTATATGTAGTGCTGGGCAGCGAATTACCTCCTATCAAATTACTGAAGGAATTCCCCCCTCCGCCCCCCTTTCATGATCTGTTGTGCGTACAGATAAATCAACGTACAGAGATGGTAATGGTACCGTTGCATAGGGCAGAATGTCAGCTTTAAGATGAGACTAAACAAGTAACTGCAGCACAACTCAAGTAGACACTAGTAGACAACTCAAGTAGACAACTCAGGAGCTCAGCAGCTAATTACCTCCTATCTAATTACTTATAGAACTCCCCCACCTGCCCCCTTTCATGAAGTGTCGTGAACGAATAAATAAACGTACAGAGATAGTTTTGGTACCATCGGATAGCTCAGAATGCCAGCTTTAAGATGAGACTAAAAACCGGAAAAAGCCAAAACCGTCGATTTTGACCGTAATGCTCCCCTTAAACTTGTAATTCATGCAGAGCCGACCGCCAGAGCCTGGCCTAACAATGAAAATCCAATCGATTCTTCCAAATGTACAAACTTCAATTCCGCAAATTGATCCACTTGCCGAGTCGAAATGAAGGTAAGAACCTAAGGCATACGAGCATAAGCCGTATGACAACTGATGTAAAGCATATACCTTAAGCTGAAACCTTCAACAGTCTTTACTGTCGATTGCCGAAATCTTGCATCGTCACATTGCTGTGTTCTCAACGAAGCGATGGTGAAAGTCACACAATCAAACTGCATATTGAAAATGTTTGAAGTACAAATTGACAAAATTGCCGTCATAACTGAATTTTTAGTCAGGCCATTACAGGCATTTAGTTATACATTATATTGTGTTGTATAAGGAATACTATACAATATAATGAAAAAGCGCGTGTTTATATGAACAAAAACATGTTACTCCAGTTACTGATAGAAGCAGCTACCCGTTCCCACTTCAGAAGTCAATTAAGTAGGCTCTATCTGCATCAATCGAACCAACGAGCGAACATCGAGTCTGCATCCCTGGAGTTCTGCATCTGATACGAAGGACCGAGTGATGGCCGATACGACATTTATTGACATTTATTGAGGAATGCTGTAGCACGGCACTCAGCTCATCGGTTGATATTAAATCATGCAAGAGGCTACTCTCAAAGGACGCTGCTGCCAACACATGCAGACCTTTGTTGGTGACTGTAAAGGATCCTGCACAGGTTGGAAGCGTGCTGAAGGCAGCGAGAAAGCTTGGAGAATGTCTTGAGTACAACTCCGTTTTTGTAAAGAAAGATTTCACTCCTTTAGAGAGAGGGGATTTTTGCAAGAAATGGCAGGAGAGAATCAGGCGGAAAGGCACGGAAAATCAGGTCAACCACTCTCGCAATGTTAAGACAACACCGGCCGCACACGATCAGTTAGCGGAGCTGGAAGACAAGTCAACAGTAGAGGTCATGTCCGCAGTTCCAGACCTGTAAGTAATGTAAGAAACAACCGCATAAATCAAAGTGAAAGTGCACAAAAAGTTCAAAAATGTTTTTACACAAACTCGAATTCCGTTTTGAACAAAAAAGTGAACTGTTAACTGTGATCTCAAACGAGTGTATAGACATTATTTGTATTACAGAAACACTCCCTAAAAATCACGGGGGGAAAATTGTACCTGTTGAATTTCAGCTGCCAGGTTTTGATTGTTTTCATAACTTACATGAAGAGCAGTGCAGTAAAGGTGTAGCTCTGTGGGTTAAAACCTCCTATGGGGCCCAGCAAGTTAAATTATCTGCAGAGCATCAATCAGCTAGAGAATCAGTGTGGTGTGAACTTACTCTAAAAGGCAAAGATAGCCTTCTCACAGGGGTCATTTATAGATCACCTAACAGCTCCTCCAATAACAATAAAGTACTAAACAGCCTTTTACCGAGCATGTCATTCAGCAGGGCGCATACGTTGATCGTTGGAGACTTTAACCATCCAGAAATAGACTGGGCAGATGAATCTTCTCCAAGGGATGGGAATCACCCAGCATCCTTGTTCTTGGAGTCTGTGCGAGACTCATTTTTAATCCAGAACATCAAAAAGCCAACCCATTTTAGGGGTAAACAGACCCCAAATATTCTAGATCTTGTGTTTACTAGTGAAGAATCAATGATAGATGAGCTTCGCCACGAGGCTCCGTTGGGCAAAAGCTACCACCAAGCATTGTTTTTCAACATTAAGTGTTGTGCAGAAAAGACGCTTCGGAAGCGTGAACGTTTGAACTTTGCGAAAGGCGACTATGATACACTCCGTGAAACGGTGAATGCGGCGAATATTTCGGACACTGACAAGTGTAAAGTACTTCACCTCGGGAAGAACAATGAACAGCAAGATTACAGTATGAGAAGACATGGTTGCAACGTGAGAGTAATGATTGAAAAGTCTAGTGTGGAAAAAGATCTCGGAGTTCATGTCGACAAGGAGATGAAATTTTCAAAGCATGTTGAAACGCAAGCTAACACATCCAACAAACTTCTTGGACTAATCAGACGCTCATACGAGTTCCTAGATGCAGCAACGATGAAGCAGTTGTTTGTTGCCGTCGTGCGCCCGAGTCTAGAGTTTGGAAACGTTGTGTGGTCACCGAGATTTGAAAAGGACAGAAATTTAATAAAGAATGTTCAAAGACGTGCAACAAGGATAATTTCAGGCTTGTAGGGCAAGTCCTATGAAGAAGATTGAAGAATATGAAGCTTCCAAGCCTCAGTTATCGACGTCTGCGTGGGGACCTCATTGAAGTATACAAGTATACTCATGGTCTATACTAGGTCCCTGAAGGGTTACTAGAATTTGAAATAAGAACCAACACCAGGGGCCACGGCTATAAGGTAAAAAAACTGCGCTGCAACTTCTCCATGCGACAAAATTTCTTCTCGCTTCGAATCACCGACATGTGGAACAGCCTCCCCGATGACATCGTTGGCGCTCCAAGTAATAACGCGTTCAAGAACAGACTAGATAAAGCTATGGAAAAATATATGTTCAGATTTGAAATGCCTAGCTCCTTATCGAACCCGGCGGAAGTCTAGTAGCTACTTCAAACTATCGTCAGTCATGAAAAGATCCGGTCAGATGAAACGATTTTAGATCTATGAACAAGGCACGAAAAGGAAAAGAATCGGCGACAGGCCTCATCAGGCCTACACTTCAGCGCCGACATCACTATGTTATGTTATGTTAATTCAAATGATAATACGAGCTACAGGCCTAAAAAGTATTGTAGAGCATTTGAAATAATTGTCCGAAATTTGTTTAAATGAAAGAATGCCACCGATCACAACCACAAGGAATAAAGTTCCTATTTTATAGAAAGGGAAGCAGTTGGCTGAAACTAGGCCCACAGCCCCAAAGACGCAATAAATATTGAGTTTAAACTATCCGAAAATTACATCTTATACCTGAACATCTGGGCCTACCTTTTGTTCTTTGTCGGCTCCACTCCCAGGATCTCTTGAAGAGTATCTTCAGTGAGCATCATCTGCCTAACAACATAGTTTGCTGCCACAGTTTCTTGGACGGACTTGTGCGGGAAAGAATAAGTCGTGTCCTTGCCTCCTGACAGCGGTTTCTTCACTACTAGCATGGTGTTTAGGAACACTTCAGTGCCTACTTCAACGATGGAAGTGTGAGCTCTTATCTTGTCGCCGCACTGTTCCTTCATGATCGAGATTTCGAGGGAGGTGAAGGTAACATGATCGAAGGCAAGGAACTCCAACGCACACTTGCCAATGACTCCCAAAAGTTTGTCAATGAGAAGGTCTGGGTCTCTGACACCGATATCGCTCAGCTTCGTTTTCATGACGATCTTTTGAAGCTCAAATCTGTCCATTGACATGTCGTTCAAGCTTCGCCATTGGTCAATTTTTTCTGGAGTCTCTTTAAAAATAGAGCAGAAGTACAGCAAAAGTATTGGCTTTGTGAATAATGATTGCACTTGCGGATTTAGTTTGGAAAATCGCTCGCGCATCGCTAGTGCTGCATCACCGTTCATGGTCAGATGTATCCCATATTTTTCGATAAAATCCAGCTGTCTTCGTAGCTCTGAGATTTGCAAGATCTTATACTCCTCTGAAACCTTGCCTTTATTTCTCAACAAGTTCTTGAGATCCTCGGCAGCCCGAGGACAAGTCGTAATGAGAATGCGGGAGTCCTGGTGCCATGTTTTATCCAACAGCTCGCGCAACACAGCCGACGATACTTCGTTGCGTTCATCGAATCCATCGACCAGGAACAGCACGCGGAGTTGCTGGAGAGTTAGCAGAATATCTTCTGCCGTCATGTCCGCACTCAAAACTCCAAAGTGCACTTTGACAACTTCCTCTAAATTTTTATTATCTCTGTCCCTGCACTGAATGAACACAACGATTTCAAAGCTCTGGAGATGCTTTGGGACGGCAGATTGAGGACCAGAAAACTGTAGCATAAGGTACATGAGTAGGGTGGTCTTCCCAGCACCAACAACGCCTGAAATAACTGCGATTCCTTTTTTCAATGAATGAAATAACTGCTCAAGCGTAAGTTTGTTTTTTTTCTCTTCCTCTGATGTCACTTCGAGTTGATGAAACACAGCCAGTCTTTCAACGCAGCCAGCATCGAAAAGTAGATCTTCTTTTGCGTACTCCTGGAAACGTTGATTGGCAATTCGCCTACCCTTTGTGGTAACCCAGTAGCAGTAATAAGCCAGATCTCTCCCACCAGGTGAAAACCCACCAGAGGCTGCCATCTTGCCGTTAACCCTGCGCAAAAAACACGAGTTTGATAACACTTATGTGCAACTATCAACCACGGCCTGCATTCTAAAAAACATCTCCTACCTACAGTTCAGTTCATTTGATTGGCGCGTAAACCGATCATTGAAGTGTTTATTGGCTGCTGGATTCCGACATCGCTCCAAGTGGCTGATTCTAGGTTGCAACAGGGTTACTACCGTACAGATCAGGTATTGAAGTTCAATCAGTAAATTCCAGTTACTTTATTCTTGCTGTAAATTAAAAATCATTATTAAGTGCAAATTAAATTTTTATTATTATTAAGTGCAAATTATTACAATTATTATTACAATTAGACAAATTTTTACCCGTGAGAACATAATATTAACTATTAGCTAATTCTCCTCGTAATGAATATGCGGAACACATGCATCAATACTTATGCTCACACTAAGAGAAAATTTAGCCTCCATATGTGAGTCATCTGCGAAAGTTGATCGTAGTGACTCACTTCCCAAACAAAAATTAAGGTATGACCGAGACTCTGTGACAGACTAGCTAGAGTTTGGGTAAGGTTATTCTGGGTCTACTTGGCCACTTGATCGCAATCAGCGACTAGTCAGAGTCGCCTTGCCGACTTTATAGTCTCCTGAGAGTATGGCAAGAGTGGGCTTTCACCGAACTTACCAGCCCATAAACTGCCCAGAGGCTGCCCTTCAAGCCCACGCAGCGGAAGGCAGTGGGCAAAACCCTGCCGGAGGTGCATGGTCGAGCATGTCTAAACCTGCATAACTAAATATATGCCAAAATGCAGTCTCTGCCCGTTTGCGTGCATGCGTGCGTACGTACGTGTTTGTTTCGTTATACGTCATCTTTCTTTTTAATACTTTAATGTAGGAGAATCAAGTAAATGTTCAATTCGAATTCAATGCTGTCACTTGTACTACGATAGTGACGTATGGAAACTTGTATCTTTGTTACGTATATCAGGTTATGCAGGAAACGTTATGTTGTGTTAGGCCGGAAAAAAGATTCAGAAGATATTACTAGAATTTGAAACATGATCAACACCAGGGGTCACAGCTAAGATATAATCTATGAAACTGCGTTGCAACTCGTCCACGTTATTTCTTCTCGCTTCGAATCACCGACATGTGGAACAGCCTCTCTGATTATATTGTTGACGCTTCGAGTATGAACGCGTTCAAGAACAGACTAGATAAAGTCATGGAGAAGTATATGTTTAGCTTTGAAATGCCTAGCACCATATCGAACCTGGTGGAAATCTTGTAGCTATTTCAATCTATCGATAGCTTGAAAGATCCGGTCAAGGGACCTGTTTTTGGATCTCATGTGAACAAGTTTGGGATTTGGATTACCCGAATGTAATCCAAATAATGAAGAAGTCTGCAACTTCTTTGAAGCAGAATTTTAATTCCCGCGGGAGAATTTTGTAGTAGTATCCTATTTACGTATATTAGGTACTTATTTCCACCAAAATTTCAATATTTAATGCTTCTTGTAACTTGAAAATGAATGCTTATTACATTCGAAACGTTGTTAAGGGGAGCGTCTTGGTCCAAAATCGACAATTTTGGCTTTTCCTGTTTTTAGTCTCATCTTAAAGCTGACATTCTGACCTATTAAACGGTACCAAAATCATCTCTGTACGTTGATTTATGCGTTCACGACAGATCCCGAAAGGGAGGGGGTGGGGGGTTCTTTCACATTTATTATAGGGAATAATTCCAGCAGTGAACAATAAATTGATAGTCTACAGACACTCAGCTCCAGTAACCTTGCGGCAGTCGTACGGGGTGGTTCTCATTCTCATCTCATCTCAAGTCTCATTCCTTGCAGTGTTGAATGCCGATTTCGAAGCGCCCGGGACTTTGTCGGGCTCTACTGAACATCCACACTTATTGTCACTGGAAACCTATTTCCTCCTACAGTTTCGAAGCTACAGCAATGAGACATATACTATTCGATTTGCAAAGAAAAAGATCTACAAATTGTTGCAGGAGTTTTTCTAATTTTGTTATCGTTTGGATTTTATTTTGCAAAAAGAGGGGGGGGGGTGGAAAGAGGTAAAATCGACAAATTTCCGATAAATGCTCCCACACCCACAAAAATGGGAATTATATGGTCTTTACGCATCGAATGATATGTATCTCAATGTTGCAGCTTGGAAATCCTAGACCCGCGGAGATTTCTCTAGTACCTTATTGGCCCTTTTCTAAGAATTTCACGTTTTCTTTCATTTTTTCCGAAAAATTCACACGAACAAAAAAGTCTTAGAATTCCGTTTTACATACGTGTGTTGAATTTCGAAGTGATTCGTCAGTAAATAAAATAGTTTTTTTTCGGACCAAGACGCTCCCCTTAAAATAAACTCAAACTACTTCCTGATATATGCCTTTCGATCTACCAACATCATATGAAGAACTGTCTGACTCTGATAATTTATATCAACGAATTCTCTGGTCATTAATCGCACCCGTATAAATCAACAGATTCTGCCATCTAAAACCAATCTTTTCTTTTTCTGCAGTTGGAATGGATAATATTAAACCACCTTCTAAGTCACTATACTCGGGGGTTTGGGCGGTGGCCGAAAAGGCTATGAAATGACGGTTATGACCGAGGGCAGCAGATAACGGCTATGAGGGCAGCAGATAACGGCTATGAGGGCAG